CCCCCTCCCCACTAATAGGTACCTTGTGCAAAACACGACGGTAACGGAAAGAGTTAATAATGCCAAACAGAAAGCTTAGTGAGCAGAACAGTGGATCTAATAATGATAATAATGACTTTACTGGATAACACAATTACTGGGAAAAACCAGTAGTTCTCGTTGTGCTCCTTAAAATCTACCAAACAACTACAATTACAAATTTAAATAGCAAAATACAGGGAAAAAAATAATTAAAAATTCATTAAAAATTTTTACTACTAATAAAATTGTCAAATTCTAGAATTCCGGTCATTTTTATTTCTTGCATTTAAATCACCTTTGTACATTTCGTAGCCGCCCTCTAGTAACCAATCGTGTGAAATAACCAATTTACAAGTTATTTTTTAGAGAACGTGAACCACGATGGCTTATTCTTTGGGTTTCTATTGAGAACTGAACGCCCCATTCGCCGCACATTCAGCAGGGGCAAGTTTGTGTGACACACTGTAAACATCTACAACCGTCGATAAATTGTGTTGTAAAATGCCCAAAACATGAAATCGTAACCGTAATACCTACAATACATGTGTCAGCAGCTCAATTCCCCCTTTCAACGTTGGAAAATGGGTAAAATGCAAATTTGTGTTAGATGAAAGTGTTTTGTAAACATTACACAGGGGTGGCGATGGGCAAAATGCTTATAGAATGAATTTTTCCAACCCTTGTGACCAGGGTTGCAGATAACTACTGCGAAATTGTGAAGTAAAATATGAATACATTTCTAAAAGGCGTCGTCCACGCCGTCGCCGTCGTATGCGTTCCCTTAGAAAGAAATAGCGTCTTGAGTTAGCTGAAAGGGGCATTCATACGCAATAGCGCAGCTAAAGTAAAAATAAAAAAAGACAAAGACAACGCCAAGAGGTGAAGAATAATGCTTTAATAGGACTTCTGTCTTCACTACAGCCGGCTGTCGTTGAGGACAACTTATTAAGACTAACAGCTTCACAGAGCACGCTATCAGTCATGTTTAATTCACTACATCCCTTTTCCAAAGTAGGTTAAATCCTGTTCATTTCAATCCATAGAGTGCGTTGAAGAAATTGAGTGACCGCTTCAAAATTGGACACACCTGAGCTTGTACATTCTATAGAACGTACATTATTATATGGTTAGTTCCATGAGCGGGCAAGATGAACCAAATCATGCGCTGTCGCGATCGTTAGCTACCCGAGCGGGCAGGATGGGGCTATCCCACACGCTCGGGATTACCCTCAGTTTTCCGCGAGAAAATGGTGTGCTTTATGTCGTATAATAAAACTCTTTCTCAGTCCATGAACAACTTGGCCAACATTCTGCCATGGTAATCTCACGCTTATCAATGACCCATATATATACTACACGGGTATAAGGAGTTATTATCATTGAAGAGGTTTCGCTTTTACTAATTTGATTCTTAAGAGGGATGTTACAACGCCTTCTCCTACAAAGGCCTTACAAAACATTTTGCCGATACTTGAATCACTTAACTTGTGCTAGTCCCAAGCATGAAAGATCAATTCTCCACGTCCTTATTGACCTGAATATATTGATCATTCCTGCAAATAAAAGGCTAAAACAATGCTGGAGAGAAATTGATTTGCACAAAGATTTACAACTTTGTGTACAAAAATATTTGATTTCTAATTCGATATTTCGACCTGAAAAGGCTCATATTTCCCCGACTAGATTTCAAGATTCCATTTTTCGAATTATGATTGAACCCTGGGTCTAGATTTTAACAAGAATTTACTTCCTATATTACATTGCCGAACTATTTCACTCGCAAACAGCTTGATAAGAAGAATATACTTTTCTTCAATAGAAGTTATTACCTTAGGTCAGTTTTGATCTTTAAATATCTTATTATACCGTGCTTTTTTGTTATTTTCTTGTACAGGAATACCCTTTTCGAAACTTAATAACTGATTTGGTATTTCATTTTCAGCAGCCACCTGATTCGCAGTTTTTTTTTTCTGATGGCTAGATCTCTCTCTAGGTCTAGGAGAGGGAGGAAACGGGGCTGATCCCTTGTGAGCACCATCAAGAAACACTGACGTTTGATCAAAGGGGCTATTTCATCAGGTATTGTGTTGAATGCCAGGTGGAGGAGTAAATAAATTTTTCAGTAAAACAATCCAGACCACCAATTGTGTGAGTTCATTTCTAGTTAAAACTACTTTCAAGATTTTCTTTCCTAAACATTGTAAAGTTGCGTGCCTCGTTCAAAAATTGCGTCACAAACGTAACGTCGACATAGCCCCTTTAACCAAAACATTTTGGTGGAAAACGGTATTTTGAGTCAGGTGAACGAAAGTAGATTACATTAAATGCGAACCATCTCTTGATCGAAAAAAAGGAAAAAATAACTTGCTTTGCGAGAAATTGAGAGATAGTTTTGCAGTCATAAGTTACAAATACGTAAAATATATTGTTGTCATTGTGAGTTCAGTGATCTAATTATAGGATATGTCTCGCATTTTCTCGTGAAGATTGGTAACGTGGCATTTGTATAACTCATTAACTTGAAGTATATCGTGTGTGCTGAAACTTTCCCGTTGCCCAAATCTCCTTGTCGGGTCCTTTATGGCCTGAATCGTGTCGTCGCCATTCTTTGAAAACGCATGGTTATTGTAATGTAGACATGACTGAAATGCAAGGCCAACAAACAACTTGTAAGCAAAGGTAAGCTGTATACTACCGTTTAATACCACCTTGATAAACCATGCATGGGGTTTATTTAAATCCGTTAATACGGATTCTAAGGCGGTATATGGCTTGGAGGGGTTGCTTACAAAAGGTAGAGAAATGCGTGGCCCTAACTGTCACGTGCACGATTCGACGGTATACACAAACATAAGAACAACCCAATTCAGAGCACTCTTCAAAAGATTTCATGGTCTACGAAAACTGTACTGATAAATAGCTTTCATTTGCTAGTCACGCTCTACGGTTTTATTCACAGGCTCAAAGGCATGAAGCACCTTGTCAATAATAGCCAGTAGAACAGAAAAGTATTATTATTAACTACTTATTAACCGAGAGTGAGTTCTTTACAGGAAAATCTCAAACCGAGACCTTGCCGTATTCACCGAACGATAACGAGGTCAATACTGCGAGGGCGAGGTTTGAGATTTTCCCGTAAATACCGAACGTTCAAGGTTAATAAGTTGTTTATTATATGGCTTTTCGCTTTAGACTTGCAGGCCCGTAATCGGACCGTGGGAATTACGGGAGAACAATGCCTAAGACTAACCAATCAGAGCGCGCGTTATGTCGGCTGAAAACACAAGCCATATAATAAATATCGTAATTGACCACTCCCCACTTGGCGCTTTTCAGGGTCCGTGGAAACAGACGTTGAAGTAAATATTACAAATAAAAACAACATCGTTAAAATTCAAACTTCCATTCCACGAAGCAGACCAGTTCCCTGTTTACAAAGGGTAATCGGGTTCACTGAGATCAAATCCATCTAACGTGGAACCGTAAAGGTGGAAGACTTCAACTCAGCACCTTCGGATTACAAGACGGGCGCCCTAACCTACTTGGCCATGCTGCCTCCATAGGTAATGTTTAGGGACAGACCATTATTTCTTGAGGGAGGCAGGGGGATGGGGTTGGGCAATTTTCTAAAGGGTGCAATGTTTCTGTTTGTTGGGCAGTAGTTTGTGCAAACTTTTTTTAAGTCAAACACAGGACTTGGCTTCCCTTGCACGATTTTTTTTTCAGCCTGTGCAGGAATGTTTTTTTTTTTAAATATTGTCTTGAGTTTCACTTACGTCGAAGTCATAAAAGTCTTTCATGCATTCTAGTGTCTTAACTTCGCCTCTTGTGTACTTCTCAAAGTTGTGTTCCAAACCTGTGAAAGAGAACATAACAATGTTATTGCTGACCTTTGTTATCTGATTCAGTTATTCCAAATCTCAACATCCTTTCGATTCTCGACTTTTAAACAGTCTGACAAATCTCTTAAAAATGACAACTATCGTCGGTATGAAGCATAATGGCATTTGGAAGCTCCTTTAGTAAACCTTGCTCTCTTCTTAATAAGTTTCCCCTTGAGAACGTTTTCTAGCTAATAAGAGCTCCTATTCAGCATGTAAGCGCCTTTATTTCAGTATTCCAATTAGCGTCCCCATTCAGAGGGTCTGGTTAATGCAGACCCTCTATTTAGTTTCCACTGCACTCTTTCTTTTTTATAAGAATATGTTTAATAATGGTACCGACGCTGAAAATTGCGAAATTCCAAGAATATTTTAAGGATAAACCTGAGGTTGAGATTTTCAAAAGAAGATAACTTTTTGTGTTAAAAAGTTATAAAGACAATACAATTATATGTTTTTAACTAAACCGTATAAAATTCTTTCTTTCTCTAAACGGCAAAACTGGCCAAAAGCAACAAAAATAGCACCAGCCGTATGTTCGATGCTAACAACATATCTGCAAGACATTACAGACGTCATATCAGGCTTAAATGTCTGCAGGCTGACTCCAAAATCACTTCAACACCATCTAGACACCAATTACATTTGAAAACAGATTTGTCATACGCTATAATCTAAGAATATTCACAAGAATATTTTCAGCCTAAAATCGGCGGAAAAATAAGAATATTCAGCCTCGGCCGCAGAAACAATATTCTTATAAAAAAAAAAAAGAGAGAGAGTAGAGCGGGATTAAATTACATTGTATAATGAGATCATCCAAGGCGAGCTTCCTTCTAAACATATATTCCCATCCATTAAACGCCCTGGTCTTCAATATTCACCCTCCACTGAGCTCCCAAAATGATAATCACCGCTGGTAAAACCTCGTGAACATTAATTTTAACGATGGTTTCATTTTGCTCTTAATTCCAGGTCTTAGTATCTCAGTAACAGTGATCCTGTGAAATCGCGCCTGATATTCAGTCGCCACCCTACGAATGTTAACCTTTTATTAGAGCGAAGTGCTTTTCTCTAAGGAAGTGCTATCGCTACCAGATGCCAGACTCACCACGTGGTTAGCTTACATTATTACATGGCTTGCTCTTGTAGCCGATATAACGCTCGCTCTGATTGGTTAATTTGGGGCATTATTCTCCCGTAAATAGCCCAAGGGCCGATTACGAGCTCGTAAAAATAAAGCGAAAAGCCATATAATGAACAACTTATCAACCTCGAACGTTCGGTCTTTATGGGAAAATCTCAAACCTCGGCCTTGCCGTATTGACCTGGCTATCGCTTGGTGAATGCGGCAAGATCTCAGTTTGAGATTTTCCCGTAAAGACCCCACTCTCGGTTAATAAGTAGTTAATAATCAAATAGGATAATTGTCTTATCATTTGTTATTATTGCGCAGCTAAAACACTGTGGATGGGCAGTGCTTGCCAAATTGTTGGACATATCGCATAACGCAGGATAACCTTTGAGCATAGGCATCGCGACAAGTTTTTTGCCACGTGAGATAGACGTCACATGTGAAGACAATCAGTTTCCACTTGGCCTCCTACCTACGCTCTGCACGGTCGATGGACCTGGATGTGATTGCCTCGATATAAACATGTTCTTACCGCTTCTGATGTTGTCATAAAACACTCTGACATATTTGTCCCTGTCAGGCCGCGATTGTTCATGGATAAAGCCGATGGTATGTAACATCTCATGAATAACAGTTCCCACTCGTTCACAGCCGTTTCCAATGGAGATGTCCNCCCCCTCCCCACTAATAGGTACCTTGTGCAAAACACGACGGTAACGGAAAGAGTTAATAATGCCAAACAGAAAGCTTAGTGAGCAGAACAGTGGATCTAATAATGATAATAATGACTTTACTGGATAACACAATTACTGGGAAAAACCAGTAGTTCTCGTTGTGCTCCTTAAAATCTACCAAACAACTACAATTACAAATTTAAATAGCAAAATACAGGGAAAAAAATAATTAAAAATTCATTAAAAATTTTTACTACTAATAAAATTGTCAAATTCTAGAATTCCGGTCATTTTTATTTCTTGCATTTAAATCACCTTTGTACATTTCGTAGCCGCCCTCTAGTAACCAATCGTGTGAAATAACCAATTTACAAGTTATTTTTTAGAGAACGTGAACCACGATGGCTTATTCTTTGGGTTTCTATTGAGAACTGAACGCCCCATTCGCCGCACATTCAGCAGGGGCAAGTTTGTGTGACACACTGTAAACATCTACAACCGTCGATAAATTGTGTTGTAAAATGCCCAAAACATGAAATCGTAACCGTAATACCTACAATACATGTGTCAGCAGCTCAATTCCCCCTTTCAACGTTGGAAAATGGGTAAAATGCAAATTTGTGTTAGATGAAAGTGTTTTGTAAACATTACACAGGGGTGGCGATGGGCAAAATGCTTATAGAATGAATTTTTCCAACCCTTGTGACCAGGGTTGCAGATAACTACTGCGAAATTGTGAAGTAAAATATGAATACATTTCTAAAAGGCGTCGTCCACGCCGTCGCCGTCGTATGCGTTCCCTTAGAAAGAAATAGCGTCTTGAGTTAGCTGAAAGGGGCATTCATACGCAATAGCGCAGCTAAAGTAAAAATAAAAAAAGACAAAGACAACGCTAAGAGGTGAAGAATAATGCTTTAATAGGACTTCTGTCTTCACTACAGCCGGCTGTCGTTGAGGACAACTTATTAAGACTAACAGCTTCACAGAGCACGCTATCAGTCATATTTAATTCACTACATCCCTTTTCCAAAGTAGGTTAAATCCTGTTCATTTCAATCCATAGAGTGCGTTGAAGAAATTGAGTGACCGCTTCAAAATTGGACACACCTGAGCTTGTACATTCTATAGAACGTACATTATTATATGGTTAGTTCCATGAGCGGGCAAGATGAACCAAATCATGCGCTGTCGCGATCGTTAGCTACCCGAGCGGGCAGGATGGGGCTATCCCACACGCTCGGGATTACCCTCAGTTTTCCGCGAGAAAATGGTGTGCTTTATGTCGTATAATAAAACTCTTTCTCAGTCCATGAACAACTTGGCCAACATTCTGCCATGGTAATCTCACGCTTATCAATGACCCATATATATACTACACGGGTATAAGGAGTTATTATCATTGAAGAGGTTTCGCTTTTACTAATTTGATTCTTAAGAGGGATGTTACAACGCCTTCTCCTACAAAGGCCTTACAAAACATTTTGCCGATACTTGAATCACTTAACTTGTGCTAGTCCCAAGCATGAAAGATCAATTCTCCACGTCCTTATTGACCTGAATATATTGATCATTCCTGCAAATAAAAGGCTAAAACAATGCTGGAGAGAAATTGATTTGCACAAAGATTTACAACTTTGTGTACAAAAATATTTGATTTCTAATTCGATATTTCGACCTGAAAAGGCTCATATTTCCCCGACTAGATTTCAAGATTCCATTTTTCGAATTATGATTGAACCCTGGGTCTAGATTTTAACAAGAATTTACTTCCTATATTACATTGCCGAACTATTTCACTCGCAAACAGCTTGATAAGAAGAATATACTTTTCTTCAATAGAAGTTATTACCTTAGGTCAGTTTTGATCTTTAAATATCTTATTATACCGTGCTTTTTTGTTATTTTCTTGTACAGGAATACCCTTTTCGAAACTTAATAACTGATTTGGTATTTCATTTTCAGCAGCCACCTGATTCGCAGTTTTTTTTTTCTGATGGCTAGATCTCTCTCTAGGTCTAGGAGAGGGAGGAAACGGGGCTGATCCCTTGTGAGCACCATCAAGAAACACTGACGTTTGATCAAAGGGGCTATTTCATCAGGTATTGTGTTGAATGCCAGGTGGAGGAGTAAATAAATTTTTCAGTAAAACAATCCAGACCACCAATTGTGTGAGTTCATTTCTAGTTAAAACTACTTTCAAGATTTTCTTTCCTAAACATTGTAAAGTTGCGTGCCTCGTTCAAAAATTGCGTCACAAACGTAACGTCGACATAGCCCCTTTAACCAAAACATTTTGGTGGAAAACGGTATTTTGAGTCAGGTGAACGAAAGTAGATTACATTAAATGCGAACCATCTCTTGATCGAAAAAAAGGAAAAAATAACTTGCTTTGCGAGAAATTGAGAGATAGTTTTGCAGTCATAAGTTACAAATACGTAAAATATATTGTTGTCATTGTGAGTTCAGTGATCTAATTATAGGATATGTCTCGCATTTTCTCGTGAAGATTGGTAACGTGGCATTTGTATAACTCATTAACTTGAAGTATATCGTGTGTGCTGAAACTTTCCCGTTGCCCAAATCTCCTTGTCGGGTCCTTTATGGCCTGAATCGTGTCGTCGCCATTCTTTGAAAACGCATGGTTATTGTAATGTAGACATGACTGAAATGCAAGGCCAACAAACAACTTGTAAGCAAAGGTAAGCTGTATACTACCGTTTAATACCACCTTGATAAACCATGCATGGGGTTTATTTAAATCCGTTAATACGGATTCTAAGGCGGTATATGGCTTGGAGGGGTTGCTTACAAAAGGTAGAGAAATGCGTGGCCCTAACTGTCACGTGCACGATTCGACGGTATACACAAACATAAGAACAACCCAATTCAGAGCACTCTTCAAAAGATTTCATGGTCTACGAAAACTGTACTGATAAATAGCTTTCATTTGCTAGTCACGCTCTACGGTTTTATTCACAGGCTCAAAGGCATGAAGCACCTTGTCAATAATAGCCAGTAGAACAGAAAAGTATTATTATTAACTACTTATTAACCGAGAGTGAGTTCTTTACAGGAAAATCTCAAACCGAGACCTTGCCGTATTCACCGAACGATAACGAGGTCAATACTGCGAGGGCGAGGTTTGAGATTTTCCCGTAAATACCGAACGTTCAAGGTTAATAAGTTGTTTATTATATGGCTTTTCGCTTTAGACTTGCAGGCCCGTAATCGGACCGTGGGAATTACGGGAGAACAATGCCTAAGACTAACCAATCAGAGCGCGCGTTATGTCGGCTGAAAACACAAGCCATATAATAAATATCGTAATTGACCACTCCCCACTTGGCGCTTTTCAGGGTCCGTGGAAACAGACGTTGAAGTAAATATTACAAATAAAAACAACATCGTTAAAATTCAAACTTCCATTCCACGAAGCAGACCAGTTCCCTGTTTACAAAGGGTAATCGGGTTCACTGAGATCAAATCCATCTAACGTGGAACCGTAAAGGTGGAAGACTTCAACTCAGCACCTTCGGATTACAAGACGGGCGCCCTAACCTACTTGGCCATGCTGCCTCCATAGGTAATGTTTAGGGACAGACCATTATTTCTTGAGGGAGGCAGGGGGATGGGGTTGGGCAATTTTCTAAAGGGTGCAATGTTTCTGTTTGTTGGGCAGTAGTTTGTGCAAACTTTTTTTAAGTCAAACACAGGACTTGGCTTCCCTTGCACGATTTTTTTTTCAGCCTGTGCAGGAATGTTTTTTTTTTTAAATATTGTCTTGAGTTTCACTTACGTCGAAGTCATAAAAGTCTTTCATGCATTCTAGTGTCTTAACTTCGCCTCTTGTGTACTTCTCAAAGTTGTGTTCCAAACCTGTGAAAGAGAACATAACAATGTTATTGCTGACCTTTGTTATCTGATTCAGTTATTCCAAATCTCAACATCCTTTCGATTCTCGACTTTTAAACAGTCTGACAAATCTCTTAAAAATGACAACTATCGTCGGTATGAAGCATAATGGCATTTGGAAGCTCCTTTAGTAAACCTTGCTCTCTTCTTAATAAGTTTCCCCTTGAGAACGTTTTCTAGCTAATAAGAGCTCCTATTCAGCATGTAAGCGCCTTTATTTCAGTATTCCAATTAGCGTCCCCATTCAGAGGGTCTGGTTAATGCAGACCCTCTATTTAGTTTCCACTGCACTCTTTCTTTTTTATAAGAATATGTTTAATAATGGTACCGACGCTGAAAATTGCGAAATTCCAAGAATATTTTAAGGATAAACCTGAGGTTGAGATTTTCAAAAGAAGATAACTTTTTGTGTTAAAAAGTTATAAAGACAATACAATTATATGTTTTTAACTAAACCGTATAAAATTCTTTCTTTCTCTAAACGGCAAAACTGGCCAAAAGCAACAAAAATAGCACCAGCCGTATGTTCGATGCTAACAACATATCTGCAAGACATTACAGACGTCATATCAGGCTTAAATGTCTGCAGGCTGACTCCAAAATCACTTCAACACCATCTAGACACCAATTACATTTGAAAACAGATTTGTCATACGCTATAATCTAAGAATATTCACAAGAATATTTTCAGCCTAAAATCGGCGGAAAAATAAGAATATTCAGCCTCGGCCGCAGAAACAATATTCTTATAAAAAAAAAAAAGAGAGAGAGTAGAGCGGGATTAAATTACATTGTATAATGAGATCATCCAAGGCGAGCTTCCTTCTAAACATATATTCCCATCCATTAAACGCCCTGGTCTTCAATATTCACCCTCCACTGAGCTCCCAAAATGATAATCACCGCTGGTAAAACCTCGTGAACATTAATTTTAACGATGGTTTCATTTTGCTCTTAATTCCAGGTCTTAGTATCTCAGTAACAGTGATCCTGTGAAATCGCGCCTGATATTCAGTCGCCACCCTACGAATGTTAACCTTTTATTAGAGCGAAGTGCTTTTCTCTAAGGAAGTGCTATCGCTACCAGATGCCAGACTCACCACGTGGTTAGCTTACATTATTACATGGCTTGCTCTTGTAGCCGATATAACGCTCGCTCTGATTGGTTAATTTGGGGCATTATTCTCCCGTAAATAGCCCAAGGGCCGATTACGAGCTCGTAAAAATAAAGCGAAAAGCCATATAATGAACAACTTATCAACCTCGAACGTTCGGTCTTTATGGGAAAATCTCAAACCTCGGCCTTGCCGTATTGACCTGGCTATCGCTTGGTGAATGCGGCAAGATCTCAGTTTGAGATTTTCCCGTAAAGACCCCACTCTCGGTTAATAAGTAGTTAATAATCAAATAGGATAATTGTCTTATCATTTGTTATTATTGCGCAGCTAAAACACTGTGGATGGGCAGTGCTTGCCAAATTGTTGGACATATCGCATAACGCAGGATAACCTTTGAGCATAGGCATCGCGACAAGTTTTTTGCCACGTGAGATAGACGTCACATGTGAAGACAATCAGTTTCCACTTGGCCTCCTACCTACGCTCTGCACGGTCGATGGACCTGGATGTGATTGCCTCGATATAAACATGTTCTTACCGCTTCTGATGTTGTCATAAAACACTCTGACATATTTGTCCCTGTCAGGCCGCGATTGTTCATGGATAAAGCCGATGGTATGTAACATCTCATGAATAACAGTTCCCACTCGTTCACAGCCGTTTCCAATGGAGATGTCCTGTTTACCCCCTTGTCTTCCAACACTGGAGTAACACCTAAATAGTGAAACACCATGACATTGAGAACTCGGAAAATGTGCTCAGAAAATGTACCAGGAGTAGCCAGAAACTCAACATTCCTCTTTTTCGAACAGCCTCCCGACAGCGAACCTTTCATTACAGAACTATTCGGCTTTGGAACGATTTAGAACCTTCATTAAAGTGAAGCCGTTTTTTAAGGGCAAACTTTTGGAAAAAAATTTTAAATGCTTCTTAACGATACACTTCTTCTTCTTCTGTTATATATATATTTTCATATTTACCATATTTGGATATTTTTACGTATTCGTTTTATTATATTTCTTTAAATGTTATTGCAATTAGTCATTGTTCCTAAAAAACCCCAATGGAGAGAAAAACAATTAAGTATGTATGTATGTGTTAAGATCAGCAATTTTCCTTGATTGTGACATATTACCAAGTTGTTCAAAAGTCGGTTAACGCTAGCCCAGGATTAAAAGTTACCGCCCTTAGAGTATTAATTTAACTTGCATAAAAATGTGTCTCACTCCTTATCTTTTGTGTAGTTTGACATTATTCAGACCCAAAACGGAAGGACAAACAATATAGACAGAAAACCTTACAGAATAGTTACAAAACTGAAATCAATCTTCTCACTAATCCTGGGCTAGCTTAATCGGGCTTTGAACAACCCCGTCCTGGGGCCCGTTTCTCGAAGGTCCCGAAAAGTTTTCGCACCCGGAAAGCCGTAGCAAAATCCGGCTCAAACCTTGCGATTACAGAGCTGTTTCACTCGCATATTCTTAATAAGAACAGGGGTTCTCTTCATACAAGAAGTTTCAGGCGTATACACTTCTCCGTTTGTAGATACAGATGAACTAAAAATAGCTTTACAGGCCGAAAAGTTTCCGGGACTTTCGAGAAACGGAACCCTGGTTTTAAATTTCTATCTTGTGAGGAATTGAAAATAAGACTCCATTCACCAAATTCTTTACTCCATCGTTAGAAGTTGACTTATTCTAGTCATACAGCGGGGAAGACGGATCTTAAGTTCAAATTTCCATTTCTGTTTAGGGAATCATGTTATTAAACGTTATGGATAAGACAATGGCAAACTACCTTTAATTAATTAAACTGGTTCATCATTGATTGTTGTGTTTAAAGTCGTTTTTCGACTTTTGGTGTCTAAACCAAACAGGGCCGGGTTCTTTTAAGTTAAAACTTCACAAACCAAGTCTATAGAGGCGTTTCTGTACTTACATGGTCTGATTTATTAGAAAATGCGCGTGATCTTGATTTTCATCGTTTTTAGTGGCTGGGACATAACGTACACAAGTGTATCTGTTGTAGGATTCAATTGCCCGTCTGATGCTGTCCATTTTCTCGCCGTCTAGTAAAATAGAAGTTTGAGGAAAATTAAGGATAAATTTTCTTTTTAATATTTTATTTATTTTTTACATTACATTACTGTTTTAGTTACGCTACTATAACTGCATAAACTTACTTACAGAACATGTACTTACACTATTATTACACCACAAATGACAGAAATTGCTCAGCCTACTTACAGAACTATTAGTTACGCATGCCACTACGGCGCTTACAAAGCATAGCTACTACACGATAAATTAGTAAAAATTTATTTTCTTATGATTTCCTAGCGGTATAATGTTCAATGCGTTCTATGTCTTTCAGTTAAACGATGAATTGAGATAATAGAGGATTTGATTTTCTTGGTGGACTTGAGTAAATTACTTGCTTACCAATAATAAGGATGTGATTAAGAAAACCCCAGTGTGGACTTTCGTTCGTATAACCTAACATGATCTCGCTATCCTTTAGCTCAATGATTGTAATATTAAATTNCTTACACTATTATTACACCACAAATGACAGAAATTGCTCAGCCTACTTACAGAACTATTAGTTACGCATGCCACTACGGCGCTTACAAAGCATAGCTACTACACGATAAATTAGTAAAAAAAATTTTTCTTATGATTTCCTAGCGGTATAATGTTCAATGCGTTCTATGTATTTCAGTTAAACGATGAATTGAGATAATAGAGGATTTGATTTTCTTGGTGGACTTGAATAAATTACTTCCTTACCAATAATAAGGATGTGATTAAGAAAAGCCCAGTGTGGACTTTCGTTCGTATAACCTAACACGATCTCGCTATCCTTTAGCTCAATGATTGTAATATTAAATTCATTCAACCAGGAAACAATTTGCATCCAAAAGTTTTTGCCGAATTTACAGTAAATGGTGGCAACTTAAATACCTGTCATATAAGTCTACTTCTCATCAATGTTACATTTGCCACATGCATTTTCAACAAATTGACCACCTTTTACCTCGGTGCACACTCTTATCGAGTGTAGAAATGATGTTGTGAAAAGGACAGGGTGGTCGTCGTACCTTTTAGGGGTTATTTTGGTACCTCTCAGGGTATCCAGCTTCATGAGGTACTCAGCGGGAACTTTCGCGGTACCTTTTAGGGTATTGAACCGAAATAAATATGACAGGAGATAGTATGTTGTTTCAGAATTGGTATCTCTTTGGGTTGAAAAAGATTTCAAGCCACACCCACAAAACAGAATCTTGGTACCTGATACGGGCCCTTTTCAAAGTTTCAGACAAGCACCCCCGTCATTTTTATATCGGAGTTCNGTTTGTTCAATTCCACTAACGTCGATTCGTTGCTACCCATTTAACGCTCAGGCAGAAAGAGTATCAAGAACAACGTTGCTTAACTAAAACCGGGAAATTCTGCTCATCGGGGTGTTTTTTCAAAGCGCTCTTTGAATGAGTATGGGTTATTGATCAAGCGTAAGGTCAAGATGGCCAACATCCAGCTTTTTTTTTTTTACTACACAAGCCTGGTCAATAAAGGATTTATTAAATGAATTTTGGGAGAAATTTCTCTTGCGGGACACAGCGGGTAGTCCCGAGAGGGCAAGATAGCGCCATCTTGCTCGCTCGGGAAGCCAATCACAGCACAGGATTTGGTTGATCTTACATGCTCGCAGAGCTAGTCGTATAATAAGAAGGAAATAAAGCACCCGGTCAAACGACACAACACCTCAGTGCCAACCATCAAACGTCCATCTCAACTCAACACAAGGGAAAACAAACTAGATCTTCTCTTACCTCGTTTGATTTCGTCTGACAACGTGTAAGGCACCCTTATGACTCTTTCACCATTCTCATCCAGTGATGATGGCCACAGATAAGAGTCGTCATTGATTGCGTCTCTTTTGTCATATTGACCGGTCACCCAAGACCGCAAGCGCTGGTCCATGATGATGTCGCCTTCAAAAAGCTCTGCAACCAAGGACATCAAAACACGTGAAAATCGACCAACTACAGAGGGGAGTGCTTCTGAGGGGACCGGAAATTGGTTTAAAAATAGGGCAAGTTCGAAAACTCGAGGGTAAATTTCTTGCAACTTTTTTGCAAATTAAGGGAGAAAAAAATTGAAAAAATTGCTTTGAGTAATCGGGAGGTTCTAAAACTCGAGGGTTGGAAAATTGGGTTTCCAAAACTGTATTAACAAAATATGGTGCCTCGAGTCTTCGCCAGTTCCTTACTTCGTAAGCTTTTAATGACGAAACTCCATCGAGTCCCATTGCAGAATCGAGTTTGAGTGGTTGCAAGAACAATTAAGTTGACAGGAGAGTAAAGCACCAAAGAGTCTGATTGACAAATACGTTTGGTAATAGTAATAATAATAATAATAATAAATAATAATAAATAATAATAGTAATAATAATGGTAAAATAGTAGTAGTAGTAGTTTTTTTTTTAATAAAAAAAGAGSAGTGTTTATTGTGACAAAAACTAGAGCTAAGCTTTACAAAATGCTATAATATTTACATAATTTGATGTCTGTTAAACCTGTAAAACATGTTTCCGTATCTAATCATGATATCATGGTTACTACAACTAATACTAATACTAATACTACTATCATCATCATAACATTAATTAACATATTCCATACAAATTGGTATATACAAGGTAAAAGCTTAGCTCTAGTTTTTGTCACAATAAACACTCCTCTTTTTTACAAGGTAAAAGTAAGTAAAAGATAATAATAATAATAATAATAATAATAATAATAATAATAATAATAATGGTAAAATTTACACCGCGCCGTTTCTAGGAAATATTCTGCACCGCCTTAGAATAATCCACAGGGCATTTTTCTGAACTTGTTTTGATCTAACTACATGACTTTGTGCCGAAATATTAAAGCAACCTTTATGCATTGTAATAAACCAAGACTTGGTTTTCCGCAATGCTAATCCTCCGAATTTCGTGTTTTTTATGTCATACTCAAAACTGTCAGATGGTGTTGGAGTTTTTGTTTTGATTCTGTATTGTTTAGTTTTTTTTCCATAAATTTTCATTTCAACCACATTTTACAAATGTTCATTGCAGCCCTGGATTTGAAAGTTGTCAATGTTGTGCCCCCGTCAGTCAGGAGTACACGATTTAGGTTCTGAGTAACAGCGCCGTTTATTTCGCCACAAAAGAAAACGGACCATAATTTCGTCACCTCCATTAGCTGGTAGGTTATCGAATTTCTTTTTCTCGTCCTTCATCCGCTGTTTCTCTTCCTCCCTCTTCAAAGCCAGATCATCGCTCGCCGTCCCGACACCATCAAGAGTTTGTTCTGTAAAGAGGGAAGAATGTTATGAGTGATGAAATGTCGGCAAAGAAATTTGGCATAGAAATAACAACAACAAAAACAAAAAAGGTGAAAGACTGAGGAGTTTGATAAAAGTATGCTGGGTGAGCGTTTGATAATATGATTCGCGTTTATAGCGGCCATCTTTGAGTCGCAAAACGTTAATGAGGTAGGTATTAAAGTAGTTAGGTAAACTTTATTTAAACACGCTTGCCCTGTCAACTATACAAGGACGAGAGAAATTTGTTCTTCATTGAGCCTCACAACTACACTCAAAGAGGGAAACAGTCCCAGAATACTTTTTCCTCTCTCCAAGCCTCGCTCACAAAAATTCGCGTACATGGAAGGTCAGCAGTACTAGACGACACCAGGTAGACGGTCTCATTAGCCGGGTGATGGCTTATACGGTTAACGGTTAATATTTTAACCCCTTTAAGGCTATTGGTTAATTTATTTTTATCAAGGTTAACACTGAGAAATCTTAAAAAAACAATTACCATTGTTAAAAAAGATACAAATTAATCTTCATTGCTTAAAAAAGTTAAAAGTTTGTTTTGATGATGCCTGTAAAACATGTTTAAAGTCTTAGGACCATTCCGGGACGGAAAACGGTATTATTATAAGAATTGTTGCCGAATGTTAAGATGATTTCCGCAGAACATTCGAGCAATAATGGTAAAAATTAAGTTACCAAAAAACCTCATGGCATGGTATTATTTTGAATACAGTTAAGAAGAACTTATCGAGACTTTAGCTCTCAAGTTGACCCCGCGAGAGAAAATTGAACTTGGAGTTATCCATATTTCACAGACGTTTCGCGTTAGTTAAAAACACAATAACACACACTTTAAGCATTCTTACGATGTTTAACATTAAGTTTCTCGAGAATGTTCGAGACTTTCATTGCGGGGTCACTTAGAGAACTGAGCTAAAGTGAGTAGTTTTAGATAGTATTCCAAAAGTTACCGTGCTGTGAGTAGATTTTTAGTAACTAATTTTTGCACTTATTGCTCGAACTTTGAGCGGGATCCGTCTTAACTATCCCGGCTTTTTCCTGTACTACCAAGCCACAAAACAAGACAAAAAAGTCCTGCCAAGAGATCTTGAGACTTTCACTTCCGTGGTCCAAATGTTTTTACGGTTAACATTTTTCTACGGCTAAGGGTTAAATTTTCCAATTTTTACGCCTAACGGCTACATTTTCTGCCCGTTGTACTGCTAACCCCATTGAGACCCTCTAGCTAGGCTGCGGAACTTGAATTTAAAGGTACTTGTAGAAACCTCCTCCTCATTCTTCGTTTGTCTCGTATTTCCTATGTTATTTCCATTGTTGTAAATAGTTGTTCTGCTCTTCATGTATTATGTTTATTACCTGTACCCTAGAAACCACTAGCAACGTCATGTGAAGATAAGTTAAGATTACTAGTGTGAGTTGTTCGCAATTACACTAAACTTCTTTACGACCTAAATTATTGCCAGTGCGTTGGCTACAGTACTGTTGGTAGTGTTTTCATTCATTCGTTCGCTAAAGGCAGAAAACCCATGATGTGAAGTATATATGAAATAATTCATATATCCGTTGAAGCCCTGATTTTTTCAGGCTTCTTTTTTCCAATTGCTTAAATTGGAAAAATTTACTGCGATGATCATTCTTCACTTGCAGATAACCCATATCGCGAATGGCATTAACCTTTGAACTCATCTGACTTGGTCCTCTTCTCCGGTAACCGATCAAAATCTTCTTCTCCCCTAACGTCGTCAAAGTCAGAAAACTTGCGCTGATTCCTTGGCATGTCGTAGGGGTATTCTACGTCATTTGTTTCTACAGATAGAAGGATTTCAAAAAACGTTTAGAGACCTGAAAGCTATCTAAGTCTTGATACAAAGCTTCCGATGGTCAAGACTCAATGGAATATTTAATTACGTTATAAATGACAGGATTATACATGTATATCTCAGACAGTAAGCAGGCTATAATTCGACACAAGAGAAATACAAAACATCTCATCAAGCTCGTTTTGTAGGTCCGCAATCGAAGATACGTATCCTGGTGCTTGGAACATATCTTGACAAAGAAAACAATCGGTCTACATCTTACAGTACGGACCTCGAACTCGACTAATAAGAGACATGTATTTACCCTTAGGTGTATATTCTCCTCTGGTCAGTTCCTGTAATAACAAGTCTTCAATCAATTCCCTCTTCTCCTGTGGTTCGTCCTCTTGTACATCCTGGAATCTTCGACGTTGCATTTCAGAAAATGTTCGCTTTTCTGCCCCTGGAAATCAAGTGCAATACACATAAGTTATTAAAGTGGCAGTCAACATCTCAACCCCAAACTGTTTAGGTCCAGGATCGAAACGTTCATTCTCCTCACCATTATGAAGCCATGCATATCTTTTTATATACATGTACGTTTTGAAAGTTGAATCTTTCATCAAGACTTTGGGTGAAACCGTAGAAGTGTCACCACTCGAATGTGTGATTTCTTGCTTTCAAGTCCGCCGGCAGTGAGACTGCCAAAAGCGCTTTGTATTTTTAACATTTTTCTCAGAGAATATGTATTACGTATTTTTAGACAACACGAATAATTACGATATTTGGTAAAAGAATTTCTTCGCAATGAGTATGATCATTCTATATAAAGACACGTAGCTCGTTTTTGCGCGAGAAGACATTGTCGTCTTCTCGTAGTCCTTCCGGCTACCTGTATTGTAGCTTAAAATTCACACGTAACACCCGACCAAGTGAAGAAATATTGGCTTCAGCTACAGTATTGAGTAACACTCTTTTTTGTGAGAATATTTATTTTTCATGCCCAGGCTGAAAACTCTTCTTTTATATTTCTGTTTTAAGCTAAAAATAGTTTTCATACATTCCCAGAGAACGAAGCTACTATAGTTCGATGAAATGTTTATCTTGGACGTATATGCAACAGTGATACGTTGATAAGAAAGTAGCACCTGAGTTGTACACATAAAATTTGTTATCTTTTTGTTAACTCATTTCAGTTAAGACAAACGCTAACTTACACGAGGTTTATACTGATAATGGCCAAAACCTTTCAATGGTATAACAAAGCCTTATTTTAAACCATCGGTGTGTTTTATGCTTTATCGACATGCAAAAACATATATATATTTTATCTTAATTTAAGCCTTAGATGTATTCTTAGCATATTCATAAACGTTTCTCTTATCTCATTCCTCGATATTCTAATAAAAAGATTCTAGCAAAAGTTAATTTAAAAAAGTGAACTTGAAGAAAGTATAAGAAGCGTTAAGTAGGCATGTATTTCAGCTCCATAGAACCACTAGCTCGCCATGATCGAGGTTTCGACAAGATTTCACCTCAGATTTTTTCTTTCAGTATTTCGTAAAATACCCTTCAATAATTCAAAATGATTTTACAAGAGGCACATAATTTTTTTGTAAACACGATTCCCCTTAGTGGCTCACGTTCTCCAGGAAACGGAGAATTTCGTCATGTCACCTTGTTGTTTTGCAGATGACTACCAAAAAATGTATCAACTTTTAAAACGCACGTGCGAGGTCATTTTTCTGCTTATTAACCCGCTCATTCAAGAGTATTTTGGGTGCACAGGTCGCTTTCTCTTTTTTGTCAACACTTCCTTCCTTTGCCAGGTGGTCGATGAAGGACAAATAAGTAGTTGAAATACAAAAGGTTGGTGACATATGTTTACATAGAAGAAAAATAATTCAAAGAAATTCGTTTTCTATGCTTTTGTATACTGTATCCCTGTTTGTGGCTTAAGAATTGTCAATAAATTCCAACTAAACAGAGAAACCTCCAGAATGTTTTTAAAAAAATTGACCTCGTTTACCTGATTGGTTCAACATTAGATGTAATAAACCTCAATAAGACTTTATAGTTAGTGGTTCATAAAAACAAAGACGACTTGTCGTTCCTGATTTTGGGAGAAGATGCTGAGCTACCCAGAGCTACACTGTACATTGCGAGGTGTCACCAGTCTAAAAAGGAAGTTGAAGTTCACTTGTCAGAGTGAATTCTTCGATCTGTCTTATGTTTGTTATGTAAAAACAATGAAGGCGGTCTCCTCTGAGACAGGGTTTTGTATTTATGCACACATTTTCTCTTGTCTAAAAAACACCAAAATGTCCGTTAGTTGGCGCCTCATGATTAAACGCAACACATAATTTCAATTCTTATGTTTTCAATCGTTCTTGGCTTTTCGCGCTCTTTTTAGGATCCTTCGTCCACTGATCCCCTGGGCTTTTCTGCGGCCGGTTTTTCTGGCCTTCTTCATGAACGATACCCTTTATGGCTTTCTTTTCAGGTGGCTTTTCACAGAAAATGTTTTGTTCAATTAATTCTGTCTTTCACTGAATTTAAAGCAATTCAGAAATCTTTTAAACTTTGCAGATTATGTGCAGCAGTCATGGCAACACAAACTTATGACTTTCCAATTTTGAAAGCTCAATTTAATATTAAATAGTCTTATTAAATTTTCTAGCACCAACTGGTAGAAAAAAAAAAACTTCATATTATCCTGGAGGCTCGATTAAATAAAATTTCTATAGAGGAACGGGAAGCGATGTCGTGAAATTGAAAATTGTCTCTGCGCCGTTTTCATTTACATTAAGGCATTTACATTTCTCTATGAGGAAGATATTTTTCGCCTTTGGTTTTTTTACGGATCATGTTGAAATCAATCCAAGTCGTCTACAAACAAAAGAATGACGACCCTTCGGATACTGGCGAACAGAAAGAAGCTATATAAAAAGTAAATTTCTTTGAGAAATAAAGGAAATATAAATTAATCGTTCGGCGAGTCTGGATATAGATGGCATGACAAGCGTTTCTCCTTTCCATGCAGTAATGGATGTCTAGTACATGTTAAAAACTATATCGGTTGAAAATCAGGGAAGAATTCTCCAATTGCAATTAACTCCAGCAACACGATGTAAAATATGATGAAGGCCTAAATATTCACTAAATATTGGAAAAATATTTGAGACAGATTCATTACACGGTCTACAATTCTCTGCGTGTCACAAATTGAGTGTGAAACTACCGTTTTGTTGTTCATCAACTTCGACGTGATGTAAACGAGATTTGCCTCGGGCACAAACCAAGAACATAATCAAATAACCACTATCTCTGCTTTTGAAAACTGTAAGTATTGTTGATATGATGGAGGCAAATATTCCCAATTTCTCAAATCTGTTGACCACAAAATTCGTAAGCAGCAATCAAAAAGAAATAAATCATTGGAGAAAATTAGCCGATACATAAATAAACCCGGCTGTTAGTTCGAATAGCAGTTTATCGCATTTCGGCTTTCCTTTGTTCTGTAAAAATGCGCGAAAGTATTCGGTGAAATCTCCCATGTAAATTAATCAGTACAAGTGAAAATTTTCTGGTCGTTTACGTTTCGAATCAGAAAAATAAAGATAAAATTGGGATTTAAACATAATTACTCGAGAAAATTAGTTTTACCTCGAGTTCGAGTTATGGCGGAGCTCGGCTTCTGAAGTCAACGGGGAGCGGACAAGACAAATTTTAGGAATAAAATTGAAACACAATATACATTTGACAGGGCGATTTGATCGAACAGTTCATGAATAATTCGCTGGGGTTGTTTGTTAAGGGCTTCGATAAGGCTCTTTTAGCTTCGAAAAATACTGGATGGATACAGGACAATATTTTTGTTTCGTTTAGCTTGCTTCAAACACCTTACAGTTAGCGAGAATCGACGAAGTTGATGTTTAAATTATTAACAAAGTCCGATTATTCCCATCACAAAACACAGCGAGACAGCTGCATACAAACCGATGCAAATAAACCCAAGAACTCAAAACATTTTGCCTCCATTTCCTGTCTTAGCCGTAAAATACTGCAAAGTAACTTAAAAGCTTGACAAAAGAGTGTACGCTAGCCTACACAGGAAACCTTTAACAACTGCGATGTTTAAAATGGAGAGGTTTTAATGGGGCGGGCTGCGAAGATGAAACGCCGAGATAAATCATGCGTAAACTGGGTTATGTACTTGTCGTTCATCGTGATAGAAGAGCGCCATTTCTTTATTCGATAACCAGGAGATTGTTCCAAACGTAAATTCCGAGGAAAGAATGAAGAATTAAGTCTGAGAAATTATCTTAAGCTCGAAGTCTTTGTCTTCCCTTAACGTCCTTTTTGAATCCAAATTGCAGGTTTTTGACATCAGATCACTCACGGTGAACTATGGCGGTAACATCAAGACTTGCCCGTTTTACCCTTCAAAACTTTACATCAAAGACACTGTAACACTGAGATTCTCACCTGTATATTCCGCATAGCCATCGTCATATTGATTTTCGTCATAAAAGCCGCCATGCCCTGCGATCAAAAAAGTTAACTACAATTAGAACTTGGTAACAAGAACGGACGTGCTGTAGAGGTTTCACTGACTACCATTGAGAACCTTACCCGTTCTCGGAAGTTTCCTACCAAACATCTCCTCGTGGGTTAACGCCGATAACAAAAAGCAAAAGAAATATAAACATATGAACGTGTTTGCGATGCTTCTCCACATAATTCCATCGATTTCTTTCACCAAACGAACACTTTTTCAGGAATACCTCTATTCCTCTTGATCATGTAAGAGCTCATAAATTTACAAATTTCCCTTTCGATGCTAATTTTGCTTCGGTATCATTTGCATAACAAAACAGCAAAACAATCAAATATGTTTGGTGTGTAAATTGGTCGCCGGTCTCGTAGAAACACACGAACAGTAAAACAATTTCCAATGTTTTGGAAAATACGTCAGTTATCACACGTTTATAAATCCAAAAGTTTTTTTTCTAGAGCCAATGATCCGGACAGATTCTCAAAAAAGCTTACTCTACCGCTTTATAAAGGAAGTTAATCATATATTCCCAAACAGGAACTCGCACTAAACAGTTTCTTCAGATGGGGTCTTTCGGGTTGATGTAATAACCTTGTTCGATTGATAGCCAAAAAGCAATCAGACGATATTTTCTAGATGAAACATTGAAACAAAAAACTCAAAAGCTGCTTTCGAAGAACTAAAATATCAGTTTACGCAGTGTTTACAGTTCATGATATCTGTTAGGTCTGTGTCGGTAACAAGGTGAGTTTTAAAAATTTAAACTTGGAGTTATCTTAAAAAATAATTATCAAATATATTAAGCACAGTACCCGCTACTCGGGGCCTTGAATAAACTGAAAGCCTCTTTTGGAAATCGCTGGAGACAAACATGAACAATCGGCTGAAACTTCATTAGCTGTTATACAAGAAAACATTTGTGTACGTTTCGCTTTCCATGCAAGAACCATAAAAACCTTTGTTGAAGAAAAAAAATATCGTGTTCATCCTGCCTGTCAGAGTTCTTACCTCATCGATCAAATCTGATCTTCTCCGATCCGTCACAATGATGTGATAATAGCAACTATCTCAAATGTTTTGTTCGCTGAACCATATTGCATAAATTTATCATTGGAGGGAAAAAGATAGTTTAAATTTCTAGTTGAAAATCAGTTTCGATCATATAAAAAAATTCGTATATTTTAAAAAGAACATAAACTCTAATATCGTTTTCAGTTCGCCCCACTTAGCTAACAACGGACAAAGAAATCTCACTCACAATGATTATTTGTAATGTTGGGCATTGATCTCAGTGTTCGAGAAACTTTTGTGGAATCAGTACGCACAGTTCCTTAGATAATATACTACTGAAGTCTTCTTTATTCCGTTGACGATAGCAATGGAACTAATAAGGTTTCTCGACAATCTTGATCAGCGAGTGGAATCCAAAAGCGGGAAGCTATACAGTGAGCGATATCGGTATACTAACGGATGAAACTTAAATTTCTACTAATTTCATTTTTAAAATTAAAGCTTCGTTTCCCAGCTCAATTTCAGTGACAAGCGATTTCGTTCGTTTCGCCCGGCGCTTGTCAACATGAAACCGCCCTTTATTCGTGCTTTGCTGCCTGAGTTATAACACCGGCGGATAAATAATCTTTCAAAAACTTGGACAGACATTGTTAATATTCCGATTTTTGCGTGAAAGAAAAAGCGCATAAGAAAAACTGAGGTGACGAAAATTAATCGTCTACATTGTATTGAAAGGGTAATTATTTCAGTTCCCGAGATTGTTTTTAAAATAGATTTTAAAGTTTTCAACATATGCACATTAAGGCTCATAGCGCCAGACGTAAAATGAATTCTCAGTCAAGACGAAGTAACAAAAAAAAATCCCACATTTGACGCTGAAAATATTTTGACTTTTCGTATTATTTAATCAGGGTTCTTGGGGTTTGGGCGATATTTGACTTGGTACGGATGTTCAATTAATTTTATCGTGTGTATGATATTTGAGTGGCAAAATGACCGGAAATCTAGTTCACCCACGCGTGTCTCCACGCACAGGTTGGCGCGTTTTCTCCCACAAGAATCGGGGCGAGATATGATTGGTTAAAACTTTAGCTTACGTCTTTCCTGAGCAGATGCTGGGCAAAGCGTTGCGCGCGTGACTCAAGTGAACGCTTTACACCTGAAACTCGCGACCAAGATATCAAGAGAACCAACGCCTCTGCTATTTTCTGTTCAGTTTCTTTTTATCCGAAATCTGCCTCTCTCAAGGATTGTTAGCCTGGCGTTCTTAGAACCAGAATTTGTGGGAATTTTAGAGTTTATAACACCAGAAACTTCTCTTGAAATTTAAGATATCGCTGAGATATACTCATGTTTTAAGAGTGACATTTTATAAGAATATCGAGGCTGGAATTTGCGAGTGTATCTCCACTGTTCGGGATTTATATCTTAAACTAAATAAAGGCCACTTGCCAGTCATTAAACTCCTCGGCGACGCTTTAGAAATATCCACCAGCTGCGCATGCGAGTTAGGTTCCCATCACGTGGGATTGCTAACAAGCAATATATATTTGTCAGATGATTTACAGTGTGTACTGTCAAAGATTATTAACACAGCAGCACAACAGTGCCAAATCCACTGACACTTGAATTTTAAACGAAAGTCATTCAATGACTCAAGTATTTATTTTATTCTAGTTTTCATTTATTTTTAAATAAAAAACACTTTACATCACTCAACGTATTCATCAGTGATACAAATGAACGAAGAAGTGCGGGGGCCCACCACTAGCTGGAGTCTGGATTCTTAGTCTCCCACCAGTCGAGATTTTTTAACAAAATCATTATCTCGAAATATTTGTTTGCTGATTTACAGTGACAATACCACATTGAATTAGCAGAGCAGTGTTCAATCCACCGACCCTAAGTAGCGTCATTTGACCAAGTAAAGCCTAACCTCAGTCGTCAGAGAAGCAACTCGGCAAACGCGGATTGGTCTGGGAAGTCGAATTTGAAATCTGCCTCCACCTTGTCGCAAAATGGATTTGCTCAATTCTCGCAAGTATCATGATTAAAACTCCTCAGCTGCGCTTTGTAAATAACCAGCTGCTAGCGTCCCACCAGATGCGCGGACTTTTAACAACAAGCTTTTGTTTAAATTGTTATATCTTTTTCAGTTCATATATGTTATTTAAATAAAGCCATCTATAATATTGATTTTTACACTGAGAAAACACCCGACAATTCAATCCCCCTCACAAAATCCCAGCTCAACATAATCATTATTAAATCTAGCGACATGTTAGAGCATATGGCAAAATGCATTCTGTGATGCTTATGTATTTGTCAATCTTGTAGCCTGTAGGTAGCCTGCGCAGCAAGCGTTCCCGTACGAAAAGCTTTTCCGCACTCTGGCCGCGCGTAAAAATCGACGAAGCTGGGGGTGCTGGGGTGAGAAAGGGGACGCTTGCCCCCCAGCCCCTCGACTTTTTTCCCTCGCTCGCCTCCCCACTCCCCGCTTCGTCGATTTTTTTTCTCTCGCTCCAATTTACGCACGGCCAGAATGCGGAAGAGCTCTTCGCACACAAACGCTTGCTACGCAGGCTACCTGTGGAAGGCAAAACTAAATCAATCGATGAAGATCGGTTCAGTAAAAGGAGGGAATTGGTGCAAAGCTATCGCGCTGTAATGCGCAAAGCAAGCTTGCTGACTGTCTCCATTTAATTATTTCCGCGACCGTTTACGAAGGTTGCGTTATTCGAGCTTTGAAGAGAATCCTGTCGTTTGAAAACCAAGCTTAAGGTGTTATGACTTATATCATATTTCACAGTCGCTTTCCTTTTTTTAAATTTCACGAAATTTCGTTCTCCATACACTGCATTTATATTCCCATAAACAGTAATATAAATGAGATCGCATTATAGTCACGAAAGTCATCATAAAACCAGTCCCCATTGTCCGAATTTTTTGATGAGCAACGTTAGCCAAGCCGCCTTCACTGTGCGTCATGTCGGGTCATGTTTTCTCTTTTCGAAAGCAACTGAATACACGCAACACACACACGCTAATATTCAGTAACTTCCAACCGTCCTTAATCTCATACACCGTAAATATCACTACAATATATGTATTAAGATCAATATGCTTGTTTGCTGATTCGTTCCTCACTGTCGGTTGGCCATTGTTTCCTGGCGACTATTATTACTACTGTAAATTAAACTAGCTAGTATTCGATAGTATGATTAGTTTATTAGTCTCGGTGATCTAAACTGCTATAACTTACCTCGACCTCTTTGACTTCTTTGTCTCAGTAAGAAACGGGGTAAGTTAAAATTATTCGCCAGAGAGATATGAGTCAAGGACACGAGAAGCAAGACAGTGAAGTTAGCGGCGTTCATCCTGTGGCTAATTGGACTGGATAGATCACTCTGTGATCAGTGTATCTGAACACTACCAGATCTTGTTTACTGTGTTTTTTCGGAGACTATAAAACGACTTCAGAGTCTACGGAGGTATAGTCTTCCAGCTTAATTCGCTACAAGACGAAGGCATAACAGTACATCCAAACGTGACGTACATCAGTTAGCTGAGAGGTCACGATCAAGAGAATGCGGATGGGTGTCAAATATCTTTCATTCTTCAACACCCAAATATGGCCAACTCCCTCCAAAAAAAAAAAAAAAAACTTTTTCAGTCTCGACAATAACATCAATGGATTGAGTGCCATTAATCGTATGCTGACCGTAAACGTTGTAAATAATATAAACCAAAAAAATGTTTGGTCTGGTCAGAGCCTACAGACTTGCGGCCTCGCAAATACGATGGGAAGACTTCAAGGCGACTCCGCTATCTTTTTCCGAAGAATATATTCAACCTAGTCGGGAGATGACGTCATTACAATGATCGGAAAATACTGATCTTCGGGTCTACTTTACGCTAGGTTACCTAATGCTGACCCGTCAATTCGGCATAGAGTCTTCATTTGTATGACGTATTGCCACTAAGTGCGCCTTTGAAAATCGCGATACACAAGCTATCAAAATAGATTGGCTCCTGTCTTAGATGTAAGCGACTCAAGCGAAAGAAAACATACAATTCTGTCTTAAACGGGGTTAAGGTTATGACAGACCCAACAGTGCCATTCCAGCCATTCCCGTCCCACCATGCACCACTCGCCCCCTACCCCATGAAAACGGAAAGTTTCGGTGCGTTCGCGCGCAGCGAGATATAAGCCATAGTCGTAGTCTCCGTATTGGACTGGAACTAGCTTGCAATGGAGGCTCATGCAGTGGAATATCATTAAAAAGAGATAAATTTCAAGGTTCCCCACATTAGCCTCAGTTGCAAGCTAGTCTCAGTCCTATACCGAGAATACGAATATGGTCTATTCACCTTGTTCAGGTGTGGCAACGACTTGTAACCCTGTTTGTCCTGTGAGCGGGGTGGGGGGGACACTATGTGCCCGCGTTTATTTCAATCTTTTTTCTTACAAAAACATCTTCAAACTTTGTGGTTTTTCGCAAAAAATGATCAGGGATTTATGGTTTTACCCAAATTTTGTGTCTTTGTAAACCTCTTGCGTAAACTTAACTTCGAATTTTGGAGCTGTTCTTACAGTATTTCAAAAAAAGTTAAAATCCATCAGTGGCGGATCCACTGATGGCGGACATTTTGAAATCTGTCGTTGTGGCACACTAAAAGCCAACCCCAAAAAAGGCCCAGGGGCCTGTTTCTCGGAAGCCCTGGAAACTTTTCGGGCCCCAAAAGCCATTTTAGTTAATCGGCCTTAATCACCTGAAACTTCTGGAATGGAACCCCTGTTCTTATTAAGAATATGTGAAGAAAACAGCTCTGTAATCACAAGGTTTGAGCCGGATTTTGCTACGGCTTTCCGGGTGCGAAAACTTTTCGGGACCTTCGAGAAACGGGCCCCAGGACTACTCTTGCTGACTGATTTTTCAGAAAAAAATTTTTGCTATGAATATGAAGTAATAATATTGGGGCTACGCTTTTTAATTACGGATTACAGGTCAGCATCCAATATTTACGGGTAATGGTGGGGGAATGAGCCTTTTTTCCGCTTTTCTATCGACCACTCGGCCCGATACAGGCCAGGGATTTTATACCTTCTAATTCAGGGTGGGGGGATAAATAAAGATAATTTCTTGTTTCCTTATTTTCTTTTTGTTGGCATTTTATTCATAGTACTTTTAGGTCATAGTGTATGAAGGCCACATATGCATCTCAAGCTCCCTGAGGAGTTGTTTCAGTAACCAAAGAGGCTCAGCGAGTTTGCCATTTGTCAGCCAATGAGTTATGCTAGAACTGGATAGAAACCCTCAGAAAATTTGTTCGGGCGGGTGGCTCTATTCCTCATTTACCCTAAAAAGGTACCAATTCCAAAACAAGAAACGCTCAGTTAGTTTCCACCTGACAATTTTGATAACGAACACTTCGACAAGATTTTGAAATCAGTATCAATTTCTTGACAACTTATTTGCGGCTACCCTTCAGGAAGTACCATAATTCGTAGTAACAACTATGACACTGATTGAAATCAAGGTCTCTGTTGGAATACACCACCAGCAGTCCCATACACTCCCTTTTGAGTTTCTGATACCAGCTTAGGCGGTGCTTGAAACATCATTTTCAAGTTTCAACCCGCTCAAAGAAATGACAAGCATGCCCTTCCTTGCCACACAGATCAAGAGCCCTACCCTACAGAGAATTAACTCGATTTCACACTCATTCTCCTCCCTAGACAGCGTCAGTGGAGTCGTGCCCAAGTCCCGCTCACGAGATTCGAAAGGATCTGGTCAGAGGCGTAAATTCCAATTCAAAAGGACTAATTATGCACATTACAATGATCAGTCTAAAAGTTTAGATGAACTTTTCAGACCTGAAAATGCTTAATCATGAAAAAGGCTTAAACATGTGAACTTTGCAGGCCAATTACGTTACATTTATTCCGGCTAATTAAATCATGTTTTCAAGTTAAAATTCAACTCAAACGACAGTAATCAGAACCCAGGAAAAGAGACTTAACATCTTGTCAGTCGTAAGAAAAAAAAGAAACAAGTGCCAGAAATAAGGAGAGATGGAAGGTTGGTATAGCGACTCTGAGAAACAGTTTTAAAAGTCCAATCGCAAAACTAATGGGAATCGGCAGGTCATAAAATTGGAGGTATTATATGAACACTTGAAAAAAAAGCACCGTGAGAATCACACATTAAATTTCCAAAGGCAGGACTTCTGAGCTGACAGTTAAAATTTTACCCAATTTTCAGCCATCAGTAGTGAACTTAATTCGACAGACTTCTTCGACAGCTTGCAGTCGGTCTTTTTCTCTCTTCGAATATCACGAGAGACGGACAAGACCAATTTTTCTTTGCTCGCGTTTGTAGGAAGAACACTGCGTCGGCCCTAAGAGGAAAGATCGGTTGATCGCGAGAACCATGACAATTACGTCGGACTGTGCAAAATTAGCCAACAGTAACTGGTGCCGAGATGCCAGTTTATATGAGAAGTTCTATTTCTCGGGCTAATCCTCCTCGTTGTCTGCCACTCTCTAAGCACTGAAATGAAAACAATCTCCTCGCCTTTTGCGACAGAATAGCCGAGACAACTAGTTGAAAACTGCACAAAGGAACAATGGTAACGAGAGCGGGATAAGGCTCGTTTTCTACTTGGCTCAACAAAGCGATCGCCACCGCGTAACTCAGCACTGTCCCAGACAAGTATTTTGACGACCTAAAAAACATCTGAGAAAAGTTCGCTACCATACAACCAATGATAATGTCTCCAGCACCGAGATACACATGTCCCTCGCGCGGGCCAATCTTGAATGTGAATATAGTTGGAAGCTCCCAAGCGTCACTGACTTCGAAGGCTTTGCACAACACTGTGTCACAATAGTCACCCGTGCTAAACAACGAAGGAATACCTTGAGAGATCGTTTTCACCAGGCAAACGTCATATACCACTGCAATCCACAAAAACATTTGCAGCGACGGAAAGTTTTGAAAATGCACGTGACTTACAAGGAGCGCGAAAAGTCCGATCACTATGTCATTTATGACCCACCGAAACGTCGTGGCAGCGCTCATGAGCCAGGTTATCGAGAAGAGTCCTCCAAAACACAGCGCAATGTATGGCCTGAACCACTGAAAAAATATCAGCATAATACAGAAAATGACTGTTATGTGTTGGACTGAAATCATGATGTAAGGATGCGACTGGAAAAGAACAACAGACGCGGCCATCAAGACAAAATAAATCGCGTAAAGAAATAGCCTCGCCAGCGTTGCGCAAAAGTGTGACTCGACCACTTCATTATCTAAGTCCTTTTCTTTCGCTGCAAAGACAGCTTCTCTGCTAATTTCTCTGCTTTTCATCTTCCGTCGCATTATCTTGCCATACCAAGCGCTTATAAACACTAGCAAGCTGGCGGTAATGTCCATCAACCAGAAATTAACAAAACGATAAAGCATGATTCCAGCTGCTGCCCAAATTAATCAAGACTTTTCGAGATCCTCTGCGAGATTTCCAATTGTAATTTTGACCTTGCTCGATCGATTGATCTCGCTATGCCTGCCCTTGTTTAGCCAGTAGAATCTTAGAACGAAATGGAAATTTACCAGCTGTTTCTCACCGAAGCCTTCACTATAAACTGTCCTTCATAGTTCCCAAGCAACTTCTTCTTTTGTTGAACAATTTCATTGTTTTCGGCTTTTTTGACGGCTTTTTTGCATTTCGCTGCCGGGCTAGACGCATGAGTTTTGATGTCAACTGACTTGTTTAGTAAATCTTGCTCACCGAATCTTTATTCAAATTGACAAGCCACCTGTGAACAGGTGCGATATGCTCCATGTTTATGGTCCCAAAGTTTTCTCATTTTTCGCGGTTCTCTTTGCATCGATCGTTCTCTGTTCTAAACAAAATTGCCGAGCAGTGATGATGTGGTTCAAATTCACCAAGATGCCCGGTAAATACTTCATGGTACCATGGCTACAAACTCTGACCTATTTTACTAAAGATGAGGATTTCAATGACACAAATTTTCCCCAAACCGAACTTGAAAATCATATTTTATTCGTCAATACACCTTTCAAAATTATAGGGGACGACATTTAAACCCTTAATCCACCTACAGTAAGTTGAAGTTGAACGAAATATTGTTTAAATGTTGTGCCGATAACAACATCCATTGTTTGTCTTTCAAAAGATTGTTCAAGCTGTAGTNGCCCGGTAAATACTTCATGGTACCATGGCTACAAACTCTGACCTATTTTTCTAAAGATGAGGATTTCAATGACACAAATTTCACCCAAACCGAATTTGAAAATCATATTTTATTCGTCAATACACCTTTCAAATTTATAGGGGACGGAATTTAAACTATTAATCCACGTACAGTAGGTTGAAATTGAACGACATATTGTTTAAATGTTGTGCCGATAACAACATCCATTGTTTGTCTTTCAAAAGATTGTTCAAGCTGTAGTTTTTGTTGCTCGCGGATACCCCCAGCCCTAGTTAGCAAAAACGGCACACGTTTGACGGGATTGCAGGACTTTGGCTTCTTCGATAGTTTAGTTTTCGATCATCTTCGACACACCCACTAAGTCTGTAGCTTGCTGTCCGTCTATAATTTTTCTCAGTCGTAACATCCGTCAAGGGCTGACCTGAGAACGGTTTACGGATCAGACCAGCGACCTATATTTTAATTATTTTCGTACACATATGATGTTAAGTTATCTTTATTTTAATTCCATTTTTATGTGTGAAACCTGTAAACTAGCTGGTGAGCTTTCGCAGCCCTGGACCCTTTAAGTCTGAGCAATTACCCTTATAGAGTAAGCGTATTCAATAAATTAAATTTTTATCTAAATCGTATCTATCTACAATGTACAGGCGCGGATCCATACCGGTTTCCACCGTTTTACGGAAATCGGTCAGAATTTTCGTAATAAAAAAAAAATCAATAGATATGTATATATTTTTAATAAAAGTAAACTGCAAGTTGAATCTCGAAAATAGTTTTGACATTTATTTTTTATTTATTC